GAAGAGGAGGGCTCGGGGAAGAGACAGATCAGAGAGGTCAGAAAGAGTACCACATAAGGTGAAGCGGTTCCACTCAGCCTTGGCAAACTGCCACCTAGGAAAGGAGAGGGAAGGGTGAAAGGAGAGGGAAGGGTGAAAAGAGAAGAAGGTGACAAGGATGGGGAAATGGTCACTGTTATGTAGATCATCAAGATCCCACCAGGTGAAGTCCAAACAAAGAGAAAACGAGCAGAGAGAAAGATCAAGACATGAAAGGGTATGAGTGCGAGAGTCAACAAGAGTGGATTCACCATAATTCAGAAGAGACAGAGAAGAAGAGAGGACAAATGGTTCGAGAGGGTGGCTCTGGGTGTTTGTCAGAACATCTCCCAGAGGGTATACTGACAGTTAAAATCATTCAAAAGGAGCACAGGCTCTGCTAAGGAGTCCAACAGGTGTTTAAGATCAGGAAGAGAAAGTGGGACATTCGGGGGGGGGGGGGGGGGGAGGAGATAAATGGAACAGACTGTATACCATTTACTCACAAATATACGGCCTGCAGAACACTGAATGGGGAACTGAAAAAGTAGGGGGACAAAGGGAATATCATGACGGATCAAGAGAGCAGTAGAGTTACGGGCCCCCGCAATAGCTGGATGGGGGAAAGAGAAAGGAATAACAATGGAAGCGACCGGGACGAGCGCCAAGCATCGGGTCCTGGAGACAAGCACAAAGCGATGAAAATTGGGTGATCAAAACTTGGAGTTCATGCATGTTGGCATAAAAACCATGAATATTCCATTGAAGGACTGACATAGACAAAAAAGAGAGAACAGAAACAGAAATAACAAGGGAGAAACAAACACAAAGAAGAACACAGCAGACTAAGGGGGGATCAGGCTCAGTGAAATTAGGGTGATGGGGCATAGACAGAGCTAGCAAAGATAATGGAGGCATAGGACCGAGAAGATGGGCCAGAGGCGGACTGACAGAGTTGGAAGATGGAGGAGGCATCAGAAAAGGGCGGTCAAGGGAATCGGGGGCAGGAAGGAAAGAAACAGGAGAGGGCACTGGATCATGGGCAGCGTCCAGAGAGAATCGAAGACAAAGGGAACCTCCATAGCAGGAAAAGGTGACTCTGTCACTGAAATGGGAAGGGAAGCAAAGATAGTGTCGGAGTCGGAGGTGAGGAATATATTGAAGCCTTCTTACCCATTGGGGAGGAAGGAAAGGAGCCATGCTTACGTTTCTGACATAGAGAGATAGGCGTACCATCAGCAATGTACTGGGCGACCGCCTTGACAGTTTCAACAGATGGAGAACTGGAACAGTCGGCACGAAGAATGCTGGGAGGAGGATGGACAATGGCCCAAACAGACAGGCGATTAGGAATGCCAAGAGACAGGGGGGGAGGACGGAGAAGGAGTGGGGTGAGAAGGAAAAGAGGACACAGGAGACAACGAAGACGGGTACGGAAGGAAATACCAGACGGAGAACCAGGAGGAAGATCCTTTAGCCTAGAATGCATAGAATCAGAGGAGGTTGCGGTGGAGGTGTCATGATCCAAGGCCCTGAAACGGTTGTGAAACTGAAAAAGTGGGAGAGGGCGAGAAGAATGGGAACGCAACACAGGAGCATAAGACATGCCACAAAAAGAGGAAAGACAGCAAACCTGGTGTCTTGCCTCAGGAAAAGACAAATGATCACGATGCTTTAAATTGAGGATGGCTTCCTCAAATTTGTAGTGCACACATGGGCGGGAGAAGGCAGGGTGGGCATCACCGCAATTGATGCAGAGAGCTTGGGAAGAAGAGCACTTCATCTTAGAATGACCCGAGGTTCCACACAAGGGGCATAGACACACATCACTTGTGCACATGAAGGGACCATGGCCAAATCTCCAATAACCGTTGCAGAGACGAGGAGAGAAGATGTACTGAATGGAGCATCTGGCACCAGCAAGAATGAGGGAAGATGGAAGGGACTTACTATCAAACGCAACATTCACAATGCGCAGAGGCTGATGACGATGACCACGAGGGGGGTCGAGTGAAGGTATCTATCTGGGAGATTGAATGGCCTTGGGCCTCAAGGATATTCTTAATATCCTCATGGCAGTCTTTCAGTACCATGTCACCAGTCATAACATGGTGCAGGAGAAGAACTGTACCTATGCTGGCATTCATCGGGCATTTTTTGAGATCTGAACTGGGGTCTCCCCCAATGCAGGACAACGAAGCCAAGCAGTCAGCTGATTCCTGAGAAGTGGCTGCAACAACACATGAACCAGTGCAGGTGGGATTAAATGTGACAAACGTATCCACCGAATCAACAAGATTCTTATGGAGGAATAAATCATCAGGACGAGTAGGGTCAACAGGACTAAGATCAAAATACTTAGTTCACGTAGCAGGACCAAAGTCTGAAAAGAAGGAGATTGGGAAGGAATCGTGCGAGTGTGGAGGTAACGGCGCTGAGCACCCCTGGTAAGAAAGAGGGTAAATGGCGCAGTTATGACAAACGAGAGACGGAGCCATGCCAGGTCTTGAGATCACCCCTGGGGGCTTGGGGCTCAACCCCACCACCGAGGTGAGAGGGGAGCAGAGAGAGCCAGAGAAGTAGCATGGTCAGGGCCCAATGTAGCAGGAGCTACAGAGTCCGGCCTTCCAGCATAGTCTGACTCAGGTACCTGGTCGCCTATCCCACGAGTCTGAGAAGTTAAAGGAGGGTCAGATATGGCATAAAAACGGACAGAAAAAAATCATCCATGAATACGCCCTCATACCCACGATGGAGCCACAATTTGAGGACAGGACACCCGACTAGACAGGGCCCGCAAGGGATGCATCGTGTATATACACCTTACAATCATCATCTAAGAGCCGTCAGTTCGTCGAGATCGGGCTCAGCAACGAAGGCAAAGTTTGACAATAAAAGCGTCCCCTAAACACTTGGAGTCAAAACAGAAGAAGACATCAGAAAGAACATTGAAGAATAGCAAAAAGTTGGCAGGAAGGGAACAATCTGAAAGGAGAAGAAGTGAGGTGGAAAAACGAAACATGAGGAAGAGCAAAAAACTACCAGCCAAATCGGAGGACAGCAGCAGGAGCATAAGGCTTCAAAAGCCCAAAAGACAAGCCATCCCAAAGAGCATCACACTTTAGCAACTACCCACTAAGCCCCTTCACGCTGCCAACGGGCTGGAAAGGGAAAAGGCAGGTCCTCCTGTAGTCTCTGTGTATCTTAATTCTTCTCATAATTTTTGCATCATCAGCAAACATTGAGAGGAATGAGTCTATACACTCTGGAAGGTCTTTTACATATATAAAAAACAGGATGGGTCCAAGAACAGAGACCTGTGGGACTCTACTGGTGACATCTCGCCACTTTGATTTCTCCCCCTCACAGTTACTCGCAGTTTCCTGTTGATTAGGTACTCCCTTATCCACTGAAGCACCTTACCTTTCACTCCTGACTGTTTCTTCAAACAGCACTTTTTGTTTTTCTTCTGTTTCACTTTTGAAACAGCATTTTATGAGGTACTGTGTCGAAAGCTTTCTGACATTCCAAGAAAATGCAGTCTGCCCACCCTTCTCTTTCTTGCCTAATTTTTGACACTTAGTCATAGAATTTTATTAAGACTGTGGGGCACGATTTATCATCCTTGAACCTATGCTGGTGGTGTGTTACAAAGATCTTTCCTTCCAGATGTTCTACGAGCCTTTTCCTCTCGATGTTCCCCATCACCTTGCATGATATACAAGTTTGGGAAACTGGTCTGTAGTTCAGTGCCTCTTACCTGTCACCCTTTTTGTACATTAGGACTACATTAGCCGTCTTCAAGCTTTTCCAGCAGGTCTCATGATTCCAGTGACTTGTTCTACACCACAGAGAGTGGCACACTTAGTGCTTTTGCACCTTTCTTTTAGTATTCATGGTGAGATTCTGTCCGGCCCAACAGCCTTTGTCACATTCGGCTCCAACAGATTCCTTTTCATATCACTGGTGAGCTCAAATTCCCCCAGGGTTGCTTGGTTTGCCAACTCCTCATTTGGTACAGGGGCTTTTCCTTGCTCTATTGTGAAAACCTCATTGAATCTCTTGTTGAGATCTTCACACACCTTGCCGTTCTGTGTATCTGTTTTCCTCATTTCTCAGTTTCATCACTTTTTCCTTCATTGCTGTTTTCCGCCTGATGTGGCTGTGGAGCAGTTTTAGTTGGGTCTTAGATTTACTCACGATGTCATTTACATACTGTCTCTGTTTCCCTCCTTACTCTGATGTACTCATTCCTAACCCTCTGTTATCTCTCTCTGCTCTCTGCTGTTCTGTTATTCCTGTAGTTTCTTCATGTTCTTGTATTCAATTGATTCGCTAGTGTGGTGTGGTGGTGATACAGTGAACTAGAGTCGCAGCACAACACCACTGTAGTGATGGTGGTGGTACAGTGAACTGGAGTGGCAGCACAACGCCACAGTAGTGATGGTGGTGGTACAGTGAACTAGAGTGGCAGCACAACACCACAGTAGTGATGGTGATGATACAGTGAACTAGAGTGGCAGCACAACACCACAGTAGTGGTGGTGGTGGTACAGTGAACTAGAGTGGCAGCACAACACCACAGTAGTGATGGTGGTGGAAGAGTGAACTAGAGTGGCAGCGCAACACCACAGTAGTGATGGTGATGATACAGTGATCTAGAGTGGTAGCACAAAACGACAGTAGTGATGGTGGTGGTACAGTGAACTAGAGTGGCAGCACAACACCACGGAAGTGATAGTGGTGGAAGAGTGAACTAGAGTGGCAGCACAACACCACAGTAGTGATGGTGATGATACAGTGATCTAGAGTGGCAGCACAACACCATAGTAGTGATGGTGATGATACAGTGAACTAGAGTGGCAGCACAACACCACAGTAGTGATGGTGGTGGTACAGTGAACTAAAGTGGCAGCACAAAACGACAGTAGTGATGGTGGTGGTACAGTGAACTAGAGTGGCAGCACAACACCACAGTAGTGATGGTGATGGAAGAGTGAACTAGAGTGGCAGCACAACACCACAGTCCACCACAGTCACCTCCGTGATGTCACTGTGGTTGACTGCTGCCCTCAACACATTCAGGCCGCTCACCACATCACCAAAGACATCTGGCCACGGGTCACGATCCTGCAAGAAGCCGGACTGGGCACTCTTGGGACCACTCTGGCATTTCACCGTGGGGATACCGAACTGGGCACTCTTGGGACCACCCTTGCAATCCCTGGTGGCGATGACGAACTGGGCACTCTTGTGACCCCCCGGCTCACCCCAGCACAACACAGCTCCTACCCGGTATGACTTCCGGTACAGCCCCTGGAGGTCAGGCAGCAGTGAGGCTCCTCCCTCACCATCATTACTCTCATAATCTCCGCCCACCACCCACTCCCCCGGCTCACCCTTGTTCCCCACGCACAACAGTTTAGTGTTGCGGTAGGTGTGGCCCCGCTGGCCAGTACACAACAACACAAACTGTCTGGCCAGCGGAGTGTCAGGGGTCAGCCGGATGGTGACCCGCCCTCTTGTTGACCCTGCCCACCCGAGGTCAAGGAAAGCCAGGGTGCAGGAGGGCTTCAGCATGCCCACAACCTCTCTCTCCTGCAGAAAATGAAATAAATCATGCTGAAAACTGTATAACAAAATGTTATCATATTAGTTATCAAAACACAGTAAGTCAGTAATGTCAGTTAGACTAGTCGGTGTAAAAAAGTAACCTGGAGGGTGTAGGCGTGGGCGGGCACGGGCTGACGCAGGAGTGGGTGGAGGTACAGCTGTCCGTCTTGTAGAGTTATCCTGGCGGAGCGGCGACCATCTTTGTCTTCCTGAACGGCCAACAGCCCAGCCTCCACCAGCCTCTTGACGGACTCCCTCATCCTGCGGAGGTCCTCAACCTGTGGTCAGTGTCAGCTCCATTATCACATGTGGTCAGTATCAGCCCCATTATCACATGTGGTCAGCGTCAGCCCCATTATCACCTGTGGTCAGTGTCAGCCCCATTATCACATGTGGTCAGCGTCAGCCCCATTATCACATGTGGTCAGCGTCAGCCCCCTTATCACCTGTGGTCAGTGTCAGCCCTATTATCACCTGCGGACAGTGCCAGTTTCATTATCACCTGTGGACAGTGTCAACTCCATTATCACATGTGGTCAGTGTCAGCCCGATTATCATCTGTGGTCAGTGTCAGCCCCATTATCACCTGTGTTCAGTGCCAGCCCCATTATCACCTGTGGACACTGTCAGACCCATTATCACCAGGGGTCGTTATTACCCCCATTATCACCTGTGGTCAGTATCAGTGCCATTGTCACCTGTTGACAAGGTAGCCCCATTATCACTTGTGATCAGTGTCAGCCCCATTATCACCTGTTGTCGGTGTCAGCCCCATTATCACTTGTCGTCAGTGTCAGCCCCATTATCACCGATGGTCGATGTCAGCCCCATTATCACCTGTGGTCAGTATCAGTCCCCATTATCACCTGTGGACAGTGTTAGCCCCATGTGGCTGACACTGACCAGTGTCAGCCCCATTATCACTTGGGGTCGGTGTCAGCCCCATTATCACCTGCGGTCAGTGTAAGACCCATTATCACCTGTGGCAGCACAATACCGCAGTAGTGATGGTGGTGGTACAGTAAACTAGAGGGGATAATGGGGCTGACACTAACTGTGGTCAGTGCCAGCCCCATTATCACCCGTGGTCAATGGCAGCCCAATAATTGCCTGTGGTCAGTGTCAGCCCCATTATCACCTGTTTTCAGCGTCAGCCGCATTACCGCATGTCGACAGTGTCAGCCCCATTATCACCAGTAGTAGTCAGTATCAGCCCCATTATCCCTGTGGACAGTGTCAGAAATGGTATCACTTGTGGTCCGTTTCAGCCCCAGTATCACCTGTGGTCAGTGTCAGCCTCATTATCAACTGCGAACAGTGTCAGCACTATTATCACCTGTGAAGTGACAGCCTCATTATCACCTGTGGTCAGTGTCAGCCCCATTATCACCTGTGGTCAGTGTCAGCCTCATTATTACCCGAGGACAGTGTCAGCCCATTATCACCTGTGGATAGTGTCAGCCCCATTATCACCTGTGGACAGTGTCAGTTCCATTATTACCTGTGGACAGTGTCAACCCCATTATCACATCTGGACAGCGTCAGGCCCATTACCACCTGTGATCAATGTCAACCAAATTATCATTTGTGGATAGTGTCAGCCAAATTATCACCTATGGTCAGTGTCAGCCCCATTATCACCTGTGGACAGGGTCAGCCCCATTATCACCTGTGGACAGGGTCAGCCCCATTATCAACTGTGGTCAGTGTCAACCCCCATTATCACCTGTAGTCAGTGTTAGCTCCATTATGACCCATGGTCAGTGTCAGCCCCATTACCACAAGTAGACAGTGTCAGCCCTGTTATCACATGTGGACACTGTCAGCCCCACTACCACCTGTGGTCAGTGTCAGCCCCATTAACACCTGTTGACTGTGTCAGCCCCATTATCACTAGTGGTCAGTGTCAGCCCCATTAACACCTGTTGACTGTGTCAGCCCCATTATCACTAGTGGTCAGTGTCAGTCCCTTTATCACCTGTGGACAGTGTCAGTGCAACACCATAAAGGTGTTTAATTGGGTTTAATTAATATTTTACATACAACATGCGTCAGTCAGACAAGTTTTGAGAGGCGCCAGGATGTCGGCCTGTAGCCATTAAAAAATCACACCTAGAGGAGTTAATGACCACAAGTTGACCAAGGGTCAGGTCATGTGACTTGACCTTGCTTCTGCTAAGCATATAATTGAAGACAGTTAGCCGGGTGTGCCCTTCAAAGAAGCCGCCGTTTAAGGTGTGGCTTGGTAGATGGCCTAGAGCTATTTACTTGTGGGCGGAGTTTAGCTCCCACTTTTGGAATAAATAACCAGAGAACTGTACATTCGGGAGGAGAGGAGAGCAGTAGAGCAGAGCATAGCATGGCAGAGAACATCAGCAGACAGGCTGTCAGCCGGACGGGGGGACTCTGCCTGCCAACTGTAGGCCTCCCCCTCCCCCTCCGCTATTCTACTTTGGCTCAGTCCTTGGTGAATGAACGTTAAGGTGACTTAGTTCGTGTTTTCCAACCGTTAGGTAATGTGTGATTATCAGGGGCAGATAGCTATAGTGTCCCCAATGTCTTGTATAATGACTCACATTGTATAGTAATTCTCACAGAGTGAACATTAAGTTCAATTGCTTGAATTCTAATGAATTTATTGTTTAAATATTTATTTGAGTAACTTACTTTTGATTTAACTTTGATTGTGTTCCCGAGATCTTGGATTTTCTGATGTATGGCCAACTAGAGTGTAGAGCACTCTTGAGTTTATTGACTTAGCATGGAACAAGACACATGATTCCAGTTTACATATGCTAATAACATCTTTGATAATTTTATGAAACAGATAAGTTCCATTCCTTGTCTTGTATGTAATGAACAGGAGTGGATGGTGGCACCCCTTTCAATTCTGCTCTTTCTACTTTTACCTATCTACCCATCTACCTCTACTTCTACTTCCTACTCTCTCTCATTTCCCTCCGCATCTCTGCCACTTTCCCTTTCATCTGACACTCCTCGCTACTCCCAATACTCCTGACTCCTCCCACCTCTCTACCTCCCTCACCCCAAATCCTCACTCTTTATTCTTTCCTTTTTCTATTTCCATTTCCTTCCCCCGTTACATCAGAAATGGATTCAACTGTGGTTAATTTCAGCTCCAATATCACCTGTGGTCAGTGTAAGCCCCATTATCACCAGTAGTCAGTGTCAGCCCCATTATCACCTGTGGACATTGTTAGAAATGGTATCACCTGTGATCAGTTTCAACCCCATTATCACTTGTGGACAGTGTCAGCTCCATTATCTCCTGTGGACAGTGTTAGCCGCATTATCACTTGTGGTCAGTGTGTCAGCCTCATTATCACCAGAGGAAAGAGTCAGCCCCATCATTACCTGTGTTCAGTGTCAGCCTCATTATCCCCTGTAGAGTGTCAACACTGATGTCACCAATGGGCAGTGTCACCACCATTATCACCAATGGGCAGTGTCACCACCATTATCACCTGAGGACAGTGTCACTTTCATTATTTCCAATGGGGCAGTTTCAGCCCCATTATCCCCTGTGGTCAGTGTCAGTCCCATTATCACTTGTGGTCCGTTACAGCCTCATTATAACCTGTGGACAGTGTCAGCACCATTATCACATGTGAACAGTGTCAGCTCCATCATCACACATGGATAATGTCAGCCCCATTACCACTTGTGATAAGTGTTCCCCCAATTATCACTTGTGGTCAGTGTCACCCACATAATCACCTGTTGACTGTGTCAGCCCCATAATCAGCAGCTGTCAGTGTCAGCCCAACTATCACCAGTAGTCAGTGTCAGCCCAATTATCACCTGTGGTTAGTGACAGAAAAGGTGTCACCTGTGGTTAGTTTCAGCCCCAGTATCACATGTGGTCAGTGTCAGGCCCATTATTACTTGTGGACAGTGTCAGATCCATTAACACCTGTGGACAGTGTCAGCCGCAATATCACCTGTGGTCAGTGTCAGCCTAATTATCACCTGTGGTCAGTGTCAGTACCATTATGACCCATGGTGAATGTCAGCCCATTTGTTGTAATCCACAAGTTAGTAGGAATTATTAGCTAGAGGATCATTACTACAACACTTAACGAATGATGATTGGAAGTACATGTTAAGTAGACAGACTATGGATCACATATCTAAGAAAGGTCAATGGATTAAGACCGAAGCTGTTTAGCCAAATAAATAATTCCTGGAAAGAGGAATTATTCTTCGTTAGGCTTCTAAGAACAAGATTACCGATTCTAGGGATAAGGTTAATCGGATTATACCTTCCTTGAGAGGCGGGGTGAAATGGTTGAGGTAGATGGCTGACTGGAGCCAGTCTGATTGTGGGAGTTGAACTGAGAAGTCCTCTGGATCTCGGTTTGCGGCAGCAGTGAAGTGTAGCAGACAGCTATGCGAGAACCTGATGTGATCTTAGTGACCAAGTTAAGTCTGCAGTATGTGAGTATTGAATGAAAGACTAACCGGGTGTGGAGCGTTCTAGTAATCATTCCGTATTAGGGACTTAGGCAGAAGTTACGAGTGTGGGTGGTGACCGCGGAAGTCAAGTGGTCTATGGGCATTGGAAGTGTATTGACCTAATACAGTATGTTAATATGTTATTATTTGTCAGAGTCTATTCTTTGTAATTAAATGACAAAACCCGACAGCCTTTAAATACCTTCCATATGTTCACTCATTGTGTTCCAGTACAAACCTAGTGGTACGCCTCAAGGGTCTGGAGTGTGTAGGAGTACACGGTGGTAGTAACGGTTGCTGAGGCAAGGTGTTATGTGTTGTGTAATCGCTGTGTTCGGAATGAACCGGGGTTCAGTGTCACGACACATTATCACTTGGGTCAGTGTCAGCCTCCTTATCAAAAGCGGACAGTCAGCCCCATTATCGCATGTGGACAGAGTCAGCCCATTATCACCTGTTGTTACGGCCACTATGGGTCGCAACCAGGTTCTTTGCTGGAGGAACAAGTAAGTAATTATCAAAAGAATGCACCAAACCGGGAAGGCTATGTAGCACCATCAAATGCGCAAAATAATCAGAGGGCGCTAAATATCACCAAGGATGCCAATACGAGAACAAAAATGCATAAGGCGAACGATATCAAAAGTATCCGAGTCACCAAGAATTCTATTGAGGGACAGGTGACCACGAGGGGCGGTAGGAAACCAAGACACACGCTCGTCCTGGAAGTCAGGACATTCAAGAAGGACATGCACGACCGTAAGAGGGACAATGCAACTAGGACAATAAGCAGCAGGGCGGC